GTTCTCAGGCAACTGAATGTGCTGCACCAGGCCGCCCCATGTTTCAGTCGCTACGATATTTGAAATATCGCGATACATGTATATTTGTAATGTACTACTCGTAAGGTTGCTGAAAATCCATCGACAGCCCACGACCGGTTTCGCCCTTCTTGGGGCTCATCAGGTAGGCGCAGTCCCCGGGCACATTGAGTTGCCTGAGAACATCATAAACGAGAGATTCAGCTGGGTTCCAGGTGAGTCTCTCGAAAGAATCAAATTAGTTTGCAGATGAGTGTATATTCCCTACAGTCTTATCTACTGCATCTGCTGTGTCCGAACAACCAAGTCATCAATATTTACCCTGTGACGCAGAAAAACAACGCCTTAACTGACCCAATTGTTTCAAACTCGTTTCGGAGGAAAGAAGGATATTGTTCAAAATCTGTTCATCGATCAGTATCCAGCGGAAATTCCGCTGTCAAAGGATGATTGGATAGTTACGCGAGAACTCACGCTGTTGTACGGTTGATGCTACGGTTCTTTCAACATCTGTCGAGATGCCGAGCCCTCCAGAAAAGACACTGAAGAATACCCTCACTATCGATTACAGTGTGAGCAGCATCACCTATGCAAATTGTAACTAGGTCGCTGCCCCAGTGCGCAGATTTCGTGGCGGCATTGCACAAACGGATATATATTCACACAAACACCTAGAACCCCCGTGATAATTTCGGTTCCAAAATGTGATTCAGAACTTAAATTTTATGAGACCTGACTGCACCACTTCATCTACTCTACGAGACTGACCTCAAGGACTACCTGATCGTTCAGTCACGAGAATCATTGTGTCCCAAGATCCAGTGCTTGGAACAGGAACTGAAGAGGTAAAGTAGTTTCCCGGTGATTTCATGTTTATAATAGGCAAGGTGGAAGCTGGGCAAAATCTCGCTACTACTTATGTCAAGGCGGCGTGCTTCTGAAGAATAAGACAATCGTTCGATTGACAAATCGTTTTTATGTGCAATCACAGAGAAACATAAACGTCATTTTGAATCGTATCTGCTGAGTTACTAGGCATTGCATTTACCTGTTTACTAGGAAGCAAAATATCCACCAGCTGATCGAAATCCCTTCGATTAAGGGCATCCGCACAGTCCAAGCAAACATACAGTGGGGGTGGCTTTCCGCCGTGCTGAGCAGCGATCCGAGGGTTGACTGTCATCTGTGAAATGGAAAATTCAGGTGAGTATTTGGATTTTTCAATGTTCGAAAGTGTAAGAAGGCGTAGAAACCAAAAACACCCAAACGATTAAGGCCATGATGAATGAGAGTAGCGTGCACATTTAGATGACGAATATTTCGCATCCGACCTTGGAGTGACACTTTCGGTCAAGGGGGGACTAAGATTCATCGTATACGTGCAGTTGTGGTTGGAACATAATCTCCCCCCACACCGGGAAGGAACTTGAAACGAAGTTGATTCCTTTGGTAGATAGTTCTCTTTAAATATGGTGGTTTAAGAAATCACCTCGCGCTTCAGGTACCTAGTAGACGAAAATTCAGTAGTCCGCGAGCATTTATCGGAATATGTACGGACTGATCGGAGGAAATTCTCCGTAGACCCAGTAACTTCGTAAGTATGCACAAGTGTAGCAACATGCCGAGTGGTCATATTATAACGTAACGTGGGCTGTGATGAACGGTTACGTGCTGTTTGTCATGTATCGAAAAGCTGGGACCTCGAATACGTGTACTGCGATGGAACAGTGACAGTAACTACCCCAGCCGTGCGCACCTTATCCTGGTTCACGCCACAGCAGCTAGTTTAGTCCAGAAAACCTGAACAACATGGGGTTTTCTCCAACACACAAGTACTTGTGCAGTCAAGGGAACGTAGTGGTTAACTCAGATATATCCGAGATAGTGGCCAACATTCCTAAGCAGTGAATTCTGTGGATATACAACTCAACCACACATATTACACTCAGGACTTGAAATAATGCAGTAACAGAACGGTGAACAAACGATTAGAAGCTACAGGCAAAAACCAACAGATTTGAAAGAACACTCGAAACCCGTGGACTTACTTTCATCGCGAATGCCTTTCCCGCTTTGTTTGGACAGTCGGTCCTATCGCAGGTCAATGGTTTCCAAGCTGAAATAAGAACAAATCAGCGGTTTTTACAGTCGCTGAAGGATTTTCATCATAACATTGAAAAAAGGGAACGATCGTTGAAAATGTGTTTTCAGTAATGCATCTTCTCGTCAATAACGATTATATATATATATATATGGGACCACAAGTAATAAAACTGAACCAATAAATACGGTTAAGGAGACGTTAAGACAGGAAAATATGCGTTATTAGGGGCAAAGGTCGTTTAACACGCACGTGAGAGATACAGTCTGCAGTAGGCTATCGTCAGACGAGAAACAAATACTGGGCTAATTCAGCACAAATCCCATTTGTGCACATGGTTCAGATGTGAGCAATCGGATGGCAATAACACCACCCACAAGTAATAAAACTGAACCAATAAATACGGTTAAGGAGACGTTAAGACAGGAAAATATGCGTTATTAGGGGCAAAGGTCGTTTAACACGCACGTGAGAGATACAGTCTGCAGTAGGCTATCGTCAGACGAGAAACAAATACTGGGCTAATTCAGCACAAATCCCATTTGTGCACATGGTTCAGATGTGAGCAATCGGATGGCAATAACCTCGGTGATTGTCAGGCAACTTAATATGATTGCTTTGGATCTGTTTTGTGTCAGCTGGTACACCACCCGAAATGCAGTGTCCCAATCAGCGACGTATCCCATGTTGACCAGGCGGACTAGCATAAAACTCTGGATTTTGCCTGTACTTCCAAATCGAGCTACTTTGGGTAACATTATCTGGACCGCCTAGCCAAATACCATACGACCCACGCAAGTGACAGCACATGTGTATTTGAATTAATAGGCAACCATCGATGGGAGAAGCAGTGGCAGTGGACGTAGAAGAATTAACGCTGAGGAGAAGCACTGAAATGCAGCCCCATTGAACTTGGAGCGTGCTGCTTTGGATTGAATTCTGCCTAGCAGCTCGACTACCCAGTCTTCTTTAAAAGGAAGCATTAAGAAAGGCTGATTGGGTTCAACTGCTTATGTTGCGGTTCCGTTCGGCATATTGAGTGAGATAAACCGATCAGGTTGACGGTCTTCTCTCAGTGTTTCTGATGCCATCCAACTCGCGTTACGGCGTATCATCTGAACATACTTTTAGTCCTTGAAGCAATAGGACCAAGGTCTTTCTCCTACAAAGGGGGAAGCTGTGAAAGTTCGTGTACTGTCCACTCCAGGCTCCCTTGTGGTACGCGCTTCTATGAGTAGGACCGTAGGTTCTTCTAGTCAACTGTACGTCCAGAAAGAAGATTGTTCGCTTCCCTCTCCATTGATCAAAATTTTCCTACAATTCACTACGGGTTTCGACTTATGAAATCAGTGTAAAAAATTTACATCTAGGTGCAGCAAATCCCATCCGACAACACTGATCGGCGAGTGTTTGAATCTCTCATTCACACGGGGAATGGAACGTAAACTAGTTACAACTGTAATCTATTGGGGAAGCCAGTTCAAGTAAATAAAAAACGTCCAAATTCCGAGAGCTGTGCTGACTTGCTGAATTTCGGATATTGCGAAACAGAGCTGTCGGTGAACTTTGATCTAGCTTACACCATTTTAGATTGTCTTGTCTGATTTTGGGAAGTCTCTGGTGGCCCAGTGTTGTTCGATATCCATTTTCTCGCAATCTAATTAAATTATGAGTGCTGTCGAATCCAGATTTAAAAATGACAAGCTCGTACGGGCATTTAAATGCTTGCGATAGCAGTTTAATTCCTTCTCAATAAATTCATCACAATTCGTTCAGCAGGTTCTTCAGCCTCAATCATACAATAGTCCTTCCCCAGGGATGACATCGCGGGAATGGGTATTTGGGTTCTTTCGGAGAAGTCGTCCCTATCCCAAAAGAGCGCATAGTAGATCGGCAAGGATAGGCGGCCTTACCGATAAAACAGCCCAACTGGAGGAACAGGCCGGTAGCACGCAGTTCACCGGTCTCAGAACTCTAACCAGAGAGTGAAGGAACCCTGTGCATAGAGTTGGTGAGCCCCAATAAGGACAAGAGGACTAGTGTGACAGATGTTTTCGGGATCCCACCACCCACCTGTTGTATAAATTCTAGGCGAACGTCTGATAAGTGGACATATTTCCAGTTTTGTACATTAAAAATTCTGCAAGCGAATTCGAAACAATCTAAACCGAATTCAGAGCTTACGTTCCCACACATAATGAAGTGGACGTAATGTCTGATTGGCATGGAATCCAGCTGGATAGATTTCGGGCCAGTAGTGAAAAAGTAAACAGACAGCCGGTAGTCGCGCCTCTGTTGGACCGTACGCGATAATCAAAAGAAGGTCCTGTAAACAAAAAATCGAGATTATATGCAAGAGCAGTGAGCGGGCTGGGAAATAATGCGGTCCATGTAATAAGTTGTACTACGCTTTGGCACGATGATTCAGGTGGATTCGCTTGCGCACTTGGACTGGTTGCTTCGAAGATGGTAGAGAAGGGTGCGCGTTGTTGAGGTCATACACTGCACAGTAGGTATGATAAGTACATTTTATTCAAATGACTTCCACACAGACAACGAGAAACCCTTTTGTAGTTGTTGAACTCCTTAGTAAACCTCATTGAAATTTACCCATAGAAGCACGCAGTTTTCTTATTAGACCTTTCAACCGTCTTGGCCAAGTTTGACTGTTTAATTCACTCCTGAGGGAATAAGTGGTCCGCCCCTGGCCGAATCAGTAGCGAATATTACTGGTGCACACCGTTACATGACATTATAGGGCTGTCGACTGTCGGACACGATATGAAATATAACGTGCGAAAAAGTCGGGGTAAATGCGACATTGCTACCAACAAAAGAATTCAAAACATTCACAAGGGCTATAAAAAGTCAAAAGTAAGCCACTTCTTCCAGGTCCGGCTTACTCGCGCTGCGCTGTCAAATCCCGTAGATGCAAAACTATAGTGTGATGAGAAATCTGGTATTGAGATTCCCTGATACGCTGCTGTAAGCTTTTTCTAACAACAAAAATAGTCATTGCTTTTCATAAAGGAAACTACTCAAAAGGTTACTGAAACTCTTCGACAAAAGAATTCAAAACATTCACAAGGGCTATAAAAAGTCAAAAGTAAGCCACTTCTTCCAGGTCCGGCTTACTCGCGCTGCGCTGTCAAATCCCGTAGATGCAAAACTATAGTGTGATGAGAAATCTGGTATTGAGATTCCCTGATACGCTGCTGTAAGCTTTTTCTAACAACAAAAATAGTCATTGCTTTTCATAAAGGAAACTACTCAAAAGGTTACTGGAAACTCTTCGGCAGCCCACGACCGGTTTCGCCCTTCTTGGGGCTCATCAGGTAGGCGCAGTCCCCGAGTTTCCGTCAACCTTATGATCTACTTGAACCCAAATTGGAGTGTTTTCGAGAAATGCACTCATTTGCAAATCACTTTGGTTTTCATGGGAGACTCAATTGAATCTCTTGTTTATGATGTCCAGCTCGTGCGTCATTGAATCGTATAGTCTGACAGTGAACACTTTGCAACCTAATTCTGGTGAGTCGAGTTCTAGTTAGACCATATGTGTGCATACCGTGTTGATTGGACAGTATGCCATATTGATACCTTTGTGGTAGACACGTGCCTTGGGTACTTATATATTCGAACTGAATACAACATTAATGAGGGGGGAAACGAAACAGAGGGAATCGGAATTCGATACTTTACCAGACAGATTGGCGATTTTAGCCTATACCTCATGAACATTGACTAGGTTAATTTTTTCCAGAACTCCGGGAGATTAAACACGACAAAGCGTTGTTCGACGGCACAAGATCACATGGTATAAGGTGGTTGTATTTGCCAAAATTCCATACATTGCATGATTATTCCACGTACTAGAAAGCACAGTTGAATCCAAACACCAACAACACATAACAACAAGGGTATTGTTTACAATTGGTCAACCAAAGTTCAAGTAAGAGTAGTTCTTTAATCCCTCCGTTCGTGTCCTAACAACTTATCGCCAAGTGCACGCACACCAACTTTCTTCCTTATTCAGTTACTAGAAATCCACTTTGGATCCCAGCATCCATCCCATCCATCCCATCCATCCCAGCACGAACTGTGAGACTGTTATAAAATGCTGAAGCAACTTGGCTTGAAGTGACATGACGCATTACTTTCAATTCTCACACAATTCAGAACGAATATCCTAGCGTTTTGGAGGCAATAGGTAATCTTATTATGCGGCCAAGCGCTACGGTAAAGTGAACATACACGTCACGGGAGACGGAGCGCAAGCGAAAAAACCAAACAGCCTTACTCAGATTGATTTACCTCAGGTTATAAGGTAGCAAGAATTTCTACGCTTGAATAAGATGACGCTTCGAATCATGAACCTAGTGATGGTTTCTCTCAGTCCGTTTGGTGCCACGTTGCGGCTTTGTGACAAAAACTGAAGATTTATGAAAGAGATCAAGTTTTATGTGTGGGATATACCTAGGAAGTTATGACAACATTGAACTAATGAAGCCAAACTTTATTTCCTACGTTCATTGTTCTAGGCTTTCAGATAATAAAAAGTGGTTTAACCTAAGAATGTTGGAGGCGGGCGACGATCCCAGATAATTATGAATCTAGTTATGTCGGTTTCTTAGGCGTTTAATAAACAAACCGTCTGTTCAAAAAACTACTTTCGAATGAAGACCCATGGGAGGGAAGTCTGAGAATTATTCCCTAAACTTATCAACATTTTTACGGTTGTCGGGAACCAAAGAACCGTAACAGATCTACAGGAAGAAAAAACATAAGACGGACCGATCCTGGTCTCCACACACTCCGAGACAGGAAAACGCCCAAGCTTGTATTCACCACCCATATTCATGGAATTGACCACCTGCCCACAGCATGTTGGCACCAAGATCATAGCCTAAGAAGCAATCCGCTCAGTGCTGAATCCCTGCCATGGCACTTTTGATCCTTAGTTGGTCGCAAATTCGGTGAAATAGACTACATATTGTGGCCTGCATCTCATGGACATTAGTCACTTAATCTCCGTCGACTGAAAATACGACGGGCCGACTTTCGACTGGCCAATAAGTCCAACTTTAATAGTTCAGCCGAAAATGGCGCAAAGGATACCAGCTTCTTACGCATTTCAATTCGAACTTTTTAATTCAGTGACACGTGGTCAGTCTGTTTAAACTTCCGCACCGTCTGGCCGTCGAATAAATATTCTTTGTTGGAGTGGACTGGACAACACCCAAAACATCGTTTTTGGAGTGTGGCGCGTTTTTCAATCACACCTGTTTTGGACGAGCTTTTAGGCCTTTCAGGAAGTTACCAACAAAGAACGATGATTCACAGTGGGAAATTCTATTGTATCCAGTGTCCTTTTAAAGTCACTCATTCACTAAAACGTTGTAATTAAGCTTTTGGAAAAGTAACTGAGCAGTCCGGTTTGCAAAATTAGCCACCAAACGGGACTCGGATATCACAGAATTCAAAAGAGAACTTACTTTGTGCAGTTCCTTCTTTTTACTCAAAAAGCTTTCCACGACCCACACATGATATTCTACAAAAATAGCAGTACGGTAAAAGACAACATTTTCATTAAATTAGGAGCACCTGCCGCGACATGCCACGAAATTCGATAACAAGTACGAAATCGGTGAAAGAGTAAAGGCTTAAGATAACCTCGTCTGGCTGTTCATATGAACTAAGTTGCTACGATCCGAATTAGGTAGCAACTTGCGCGAGCAGCAACAGCACACATCTCATCAAGAAGGGTGGGACTGAAATTATTTTTACCAGGAAACCTTATCAGTGCAGTCTGCGGTGGTCACCAAAACCCCTTCTGAGTTTTGTTGAGTGTTATTGCAAGATATGACCGTAGAGACCACTGATTTGGAAATCTCTGGGAAGTACGCCCCCTGTCGGTTCGCCAGCGATTCTGCATGATTCCTGTCGACCTAAAAATTATCATTCGACACCAAGACTGCCGGCACTTAAACTGTTCAGTTACTCACCAGTTCTATGCAGAAAATCGAATCAAGTGTACGAAACTGACAAGTTGCAAAAAGGGAGAGCAATAATTACACGAGGAAGTATGAGAAACGAGCAAGTCGTCTGTTGCAGCTGGCCATTTCTAGACATGCCCGCTGATTTGAACGCACCAGATTACAGTCCAACAGGGCAAAACATGTTCCCGAAGTGAGAGAAAAACCATCGTTGGTTCGTTAGGTTCTAGACCTATGGAAGCGTAGGGCGGAAGAACCTAGAAATTGGCTGGTTTCGTATTCAGTTGTTTGTCAAAAACAAGGTTCCATTTGGATGGTGCAAACTCCGACATCTGAGTTTATCAGATTACAAGGTTTCAGTTGAATGAAGATTAAGTTGAACTGTGAATCGACATCTTATAACTGCAGTGTGAGTGATTGTCGTCGTCGACAGCACAAAATCCGTGTTCAACACCAATGCTTCGTTTCTATACAACCAGAATTTAGCTGGAGGCCCCACTGAGAAAAACTAGTGAGGAAGGGATTTGGTACTTGCCGAGCACAATCATTCCTAGGTACCTACATCTGCAGACATTCATTCGGACACCGGATAAGGACTGACAACAAGAACGTGTTGACATCGATTAGCGGCCGTAACTTCCAGCGTCTCCAACCGTGCACATGGCGGATTATGCGGGCCCCATTCTGGAAGGCGAGTCGCGCCGACAGGGGTAGTAAGTAATCAGTAAGAATTCCCTAGGTCTGCTTATCGCCAACATTCTGACAGGAACAGTATGAACGTAAATGGTTCGATGGGATGATATTAACAGCAGTCTATAACCAATCAGATCAACCTCAACTACCCCGACGGATGTGAAGATTCATACAGTCGGAGGGATCAGGAGCAGAATTCGTAGAGAAGCGCTTGTTTAATAAATGTGTCATTCTTCCCAGGGAGCTCAATACGGGAGCAACTTCCATAGCGGTCCTTGGCACCGAATCGGTTGCATCTGCACAATGGCATATCATATGCCATCGATATCCAGCATCCCAGTATTGTGAGTAGTCTATAGTAGCAATCGCGTTGATTTCAGTGGCACACACTGAAGATTGGTTATGGCAGCGGTCGTTGGAGTACCCACAGGACGTCATCAATGTAAATACTCACTCGAACTACACAATAAGGGGCGCTAGTCGGTTGCCGAACTGGGACAACATCCAGGGACACTTAAGGTCACAATAGAGGCAGGCGTATCGATAAATGTGGGGTAAATCTGGAAACAATGATAGTTCAAGCCCTGCTGAAGGGTAACTTTTTCGGTTTCTGTTATCGGTTTCAGGTAACCGAGCACACAACTGACTTATCTTCCTTCCAATCAGTGTATCTCGCGAAAGGAAACTTTGCGAACATACACACTTTCGGACCACAAAATGCTAGCGGTCGCAGGATTAAATGAGTTGATGCGAAAAACACTTCAATGTACAAGAATAGAGATGTGACTAATGGTAGAGTGAACTGGTACGTTAAACTTTAATTGTGAAATGAGCATACTGAAGTCTGCGGGAGAAATAAACGGGTCAATTTTTAGTCCGTCATGACTCACCAATTTTTTCCACATGCTGGAAGACCAATGTAAGGATCGAGGGTATGGAATCAATAGCGTATGATTCCTGATCATCTTTACAGTCTGAAACACAAAAACATACCTGCGTAAACAAGCCTTAGCGTACTTGTAGCAGTATGGTTCTGGCTTCACCAGACATCACGATTTACCAAGTAAAGATCAGTTTCCGCGCCCGTGCCATAGCTAATATCATATTCGTTACGGGGATCATTAACTATGTTCACCAGCGACGAGTCCCCTGATGAAACATCCATCTAAAGAGCACCCATGGGAACACACATCGAATCAGACAAACTATCCATACGGGTAAAATCAATGGCTATGTGGTCCAGCAGTCACAGCGGATAAAGTGGATCACACATATGCTCTTGGGGAATTCTTTTGGCAAATTACAGACCTTCGTTTCTTCCAAAAACCTGAGATCATCGGCGAACGTACGTCATTTTTTGAAGTGAAAAATAAATCATCCAAATCTCTCTAGTAAAATTGCAACCTGATTCAGTTGATTTGTCTGTCGTCATTAAGAATAGCGACGAGCACTCCATTCGCTAAAATTTCTCTGCGTGCCTGTAACGCACCCTAAGTATGGCGGTGAATTCAACGGCCACTGCCGTTGGCAGGATGATCTAGTCAGCTCATCCATTAGTTCACCGAGAAAACGCAGTATTTTTTTATTATCCGATTTTCGGGACCAGGCTCCGGGGAAAACGGTTAAACAACCCAAATCGATTACCAACTACTTCAACAACATTTGCTTTTTGGGAAAGGAGAGTCGATTGTGCCGAGGAACTTAGACGATTGAGAGGCAAACAGGCCTGATGATAAAGAGGCCGTCTTTCAAACATATTTTGGTCAGTAATTGGGTTTCTTCAGGTATACATGCACAGAGGACATCACAAAACAGTGGATACGTCCATCAACATTAATCCGTTGTTTATGCCACCAGTCGCAACCCAACTGTTCTGATACATGCGTTATCACATTGCATGTTTTTCTGGAAGCTTCTACCAAAAGCGTCTATGTTTAAACAGCATTCGTAAGCTGAGAAAACGTACAATACTGGGTAAATTTCAAAGCACGTATGGATTGTTTTGTTAGCGGTTAATCAGGGTCGCGCTTTATTGGATCGTCTGCTTACTCTACGCAGGCGAGTGTTTCTCTCTCTCTCAGTGTGTGTGTGTGTGTATGTGTGTGTGTATGTGTGTGTGTGTGTGTTCATGCGTACATACACTCTCCAGTGAGGTGGGAAATCAGGACACGGAAAATCGATTTGAATGCGGCCGATACGAAATGAGGTGAAGTGGTAGTCGTAGACAGCTGGGTTTGAAAATTTCGTGCACGTTGTGAATGGAATGGGATTAAACTGATTGTTAGTAATCGATTGTTGATCGCAGAAGTTTCGCGTTAAGTCCACTGTACATTCTCAGGAGAAAAAGGAAAATATATTGGCGCAAGGGTTGCAGGAGACTTAAAGGCTGAGAGGAATCAGTCGTCAATAACACAGTGAAAAGTACTGTTGTGTAGATGAGTAAAGTGAGTGCAGCGATGAAGAGCAATGCCTGGTGCATGTTTCTTCGTTTATTCGCTAGACTTTGACAGTGTCGCTCTGATAACGACAAACAACAAACTAACCCAGAATACTTGAAAAAGAAAAAGAAACCTTTATCTAAGGAATGATTTTTCGACAGGGTCCTCCCGTTTACGTAAGACCTTCGTCCGAGGAACAAACACACAGGGGTGTTGACTGGATCCGTTTAATTGGGATAAATAAATGAAAAAATGCACAGACGCTCGGATGGTCAAATCTGGAGAACCAGAGTCATTCCGGAGTTGGTAACAGGAACTGCTTGGTTGCACAGCGGTTGTTCTTATTGATTCTCACTTATTTTCCCAACCCCTGACATTTCTATTGAACATGGATCAAGACCTTTGCAGCTTCTCGCGAAAATGTTTCTGGACATAGTAGGTATAAACGAGGGTTTCAAAGTGTTTGACAACGCTTATAATGTCCCAGGCTATGGAAAAGCTCATAAGAATAATAAGTTTTCGCGTGGTTGAGAAACAAAACAGAACAATTGAGATTCTACGTACCGAAAAGTAATGATAGGATTCGTGTTAGGGAAATTTTGGGATGTAATCCAGCAAGGGATTGGGAGGGTAACATAATTCCCATTAAGTCTGAAGTTAAGGATAGCCTAACACATGTACCTCCAGCTTGGACCCTGATGTGTATGTGTGCCGGACGGAGCATTTGCAATATATCTCCAGAAGAGACTTGTGATTCAAATCAAGAGTCAATTACTCCTCGCTTTGTTTCAATTTTGATGTGCACCATTGATGAGCAAAACGTCCGCTGAGTGGTATGGGCGTTCGTGCATAGGTAAGCGATCATTAAACCTCGCCTACGATATCCTACGCATCAGACACAGCTTGCTTCATAGAATCAGACGCTCGGAAATTTCTCAACGGCATCAGCAAGCTTTCTCGTGCAGTTCATTTTACTTCTGCATATCCAACCACCTCACCCTAAACTTCATGAATCGAAAAAAATAACTGCCAAAGACTCCTGTACTGGCAACTGGAGTTTGTGGGGCGCTAACTGGACGCGCGCGTGCGTGGACGTGAAAAATGAGAATTAATTACGACTGCAGTGGCTAATCAAACTGAATAGATAACTTGCCAGATGAACCATCTACTGGGATGCTAAGCTATGTGAGGGAAAACATGCACGACGAAATACAATCAACTTACTGTATACCAAAGGAATAACAACGGCGCACATGAGTTCGATCACGCTTGACTGCGCAGCTGCGGGAAAATAAGTGAGCATCCAAGCGAGGGCCAACGGAACACCCTCCAAGCAGTCGTAGTCCAAAAATATCACCAGATTGTGCAGCGTTCTTATTAGGTGATCACAAACCGCTGGGATAGAATGGTGGAAAGCAGAGTCAGGAACGTTAGTTAGTGCTGTGAGCCCATAATTTCTTATGTAGTAATAACAGTAATAATAACAATAGTTTGGCTGTAATACCCTTCCAGTACCTAGTTGCCATGCTGTCTGAAGGAAGCACGAAGGCTCAGATAACGCCAGGCTAACCAAGCCTGAACGGGAGCAGTCTTGATGCCGAGGTGTGGTTCGAACCGCGGACCTTCTGTTCACTAGGTGCGTCTTAATCACTGAGCTACCTTGAGCAAATGTTGAACCACAAAGTGACAACAGCTATTCATACATTGTTTTCAAAGTTTGTATCTCTTTTTCTTAGTGAATCCAACTTGCTTCTCCAATTTACCATTGAAACACATCGTCGAATGGAAACGGACTTATCAAAAAAGAAGTAATGTTCCTAATGGGGTTTGTATGTTTCCGAGTTTCGTGTTTAAAGGATGAAATCGATTTCATACGATAAAAAATAACCCCCAGTGAAACAGCTAAATATCGGACGGAAAAGGTAAATCGTTGATCGCACAGGACAATTTACTTTTTGTCGTTCTCGAAAAAGCCAAGTTGCGATTCGACACAAACAGTGGCCTACTAACCTGGTTACCTTTTCAAATCCAGCTCGATTTCCTAACTAACTGTTTTTCGAACCATACTGATCTTCTGACGAAATTCTGACGAGCGATTTGTCAGTGTACATCTTTCCAACTAAGATTTTGTCTAAACCGAAAATTGGAAAAGCACCACAGCTCTTGCGTCTTTCTTTAGAATCATCAGCGCTACTGATGCTCTCAAATGAAAATGACAAAATCTGCTCAAACTAACATCACCGTACCTGTTCTCTGCACTTTAAGATCCGTGGTTCACCGTCATCTAATGCATATCGTTCCCATGTACATAGGAATACGCAAACCATCAGAAGGAGGGTGTGTGACGGTGTCCACCTCACCTTTCATAGTGGTGACTGACTCGACTGGATCAGTCAGCAGCCTGGCTCATGAACCTTAGTGATCACTTATTTCAATGCCTGAAATTCGGCTTCGAGTTATGTAGTTTTCTGAAAACCAGCTTCGCATAACAAAATTCGATTCTTACGTCTCAAAAATTTCTTTAGGAGGATGAAATTAGAGTGTGAAACAAAAGAGTTCACAGTCTCATCTGAGAAATAGATAATAACAACCATACAGTTAAAAGAATTCATCGTAGAGACACCGTTGTGTTCTAGGGTCTGTTGTAAAATGTGGATTTAATTCAGATATTTCAGGTAACTTCCTCATGGTAACCCGAGTTCACCCACGTACGTGCCACTTGAGTATCTCAAGATCAAAGCAGCATACAAGTCACTATCCTGAATTAACATCAGCAACGTATTTGACCCAGACCTATAGATACCGAAAAGGATCACGTTCTCCTATCATTATTGCGTCCAAATTCTGCCTGTCCCCCTGGATTCGCGTTCTTGGGTCTCGCCTTGTATAGCACTGGCGCCTAACAAGATTGTGGCGTGACATCAATTGACTGGCTGTGTCTACAACGCTTTTTCGAAAAGTGAAAGCCTATTTGACAGGTGACGAGCCGTTGCAACCTGTGTATAAGTCCAACCGCACAATCCACTTTCTATGCATGTACGCCACTGCACTGAGATGCATAGAGTCTAAAACACGTTTCTGGACTGTTCTGATGCGTTTTATAGTCCAAGCAGACTGACTTTTCACCAACTACTATCAAAGTAAGACATCGACCATAACATGACCATGCCACTTGTTGATTACTTTCGAAGCTGAGCACAGTTTTCAGCATATATGGCATTACCATTTGAGCTCTTGCTGCCAATCAACCGCCAAACATTTACCCTTTGAGAAGACGAGATCCTTTTTTTTACTTTGCCGATGTGCCATAGGCTAGACTGGGCTAGGTGCAAGATGTTTTGTGGGTGAATAGCAGATATTTCAAAACTGCTCCTCCACCTAAGCATTAGCAATAATACATCAACAATAAATATCACACACGTTCCCTACATACACATACAGAACCGTACCGTGTGTTACGGACTAGTGCAAACTATATTGAGAGCAAATACGCGGTGTGAGGTACTAGGAGCTATACAAAAGACTTTGATACTCTTTTGATAGAAGAGCCCACTCTCATGTCATTTAATCAGACGCATTAGTAGTGTTTGTAAATGTTGTCGCTTGGGTTCCTGATGACTGTCAGGGCATATTTTGCAACCACATTTTGTAGGTATCGACTTAACGAAAATCAAACACTGCAACGTCGTTAAAGCGACATGATTTCAAAACAAATATATTATGCGTGCCAATAAGTGTCGTTCAGAATGTGTGAAACCCCCTTTACGATAAACTTCATCACATTAGATAGTTGGTAAAAACTTACTGACGTGGAACAAACAAGATCCCACTTTACTGCGATCAGTACAGTGTTGCTGAGTCAGTTGGCATTCACAAAAGATGTCAGCCCTGACAACAAGAAATGACGATCCAGCCAAGAGTCGACAGTGGTGTGACAAGGAAGTGCATTTAATCTCCATTGGGGAGAGTTATTTTATACAGAAAACCTCACAAGAGATGAACAACCGACATCCCATATGATGCTTATTATGGGTTGTTTCCACTATCCAGATTGTCAGTCACGGTAAATATTACCTGCTTGTAATGTTTGGCCGACCAGGTTAACATGAAAACAAATCCAGAATGTGTGATAAGTTTCACTCAGCAATAAACACTGAAGGAGGAGGAAATCTGTACTTGGTCTTACCAACCAGGACCTATCAGGAGCGAGCTTTACTGAAACTAAGCTGCGCGGTTGGCAGCACCCTATGCACCTAGAAAACTCACTATAATCATATTACGGCTCGACTTAATGTCACGCAGGTGCCAGTACTAAGTAATCAGTCGACTTCTCAGACATGTTAAAGAGGTCCTGTTCTAAGCCAAGCTCAACCTCCTACAGACTGGCCACATCAGCGGCAGTAATAAAGGTCCCACTTTCGAGTCAGTGAACCAGTTCTTGAACCACTTATTCATTGGTTTGATACTCTATTTTTTACAGCTTCGTGTGTTGTTAAATTTCACCATGATCGTGGAACCTAAGGCTTCTGGACTACAAGGTGGCAGACTCGAGCAGCTGTCAATTGACTTCTGGTGCATAAGACGTTTTTCTCCGTCTCAATGCTCTTCGGGTGTTTTGCTGAACATCGCAGATCATGGTGGTAAGCGAGCACCAAGTCTGAGAAAAGGAATTGAGACTCTTCAATCCGAAATCCCGCCGCATCTTCAAAAGTTCGATATACCTTTCTTCACACTTTTTCTAGTATGTATGACAAGCTGCCCCACTGTTCTGTATTTACGAGGGATGGACAGCTGGGAGGCGGTGGTCCACCGGAGAAGCACCACCACCCGGCATGTAGGAGACTCACGCGGTCTGCACTCCAGTCACAGCTGTCGCTCACAGAAACTGTATACATGAACAAGCAATAAAACATTGTTGGTTTTTTCGCAAGCTTACGGCTGCGGTCTGTAATGGCGGGAGTGTGAACAACAACGATAAATCATCCAAACAAATACTATCACCTCCCGCCTCATGCGTTCTTTTCCTTATTATAACTCAGATACTCTGCAACATTTCTTCCATTTGCTCGCTACTTTGTACACAATCGCTTGTATTTTTGGGAATGAGGCTACTGTTTATGCTTGTTCCCTTCTTTACGTTTTCTGGTGCCGTCCATTATTGTTTGTTTGCATCGTTTCTAGTAGTTTTATCCCATATTTTCCGCCATCAGATAGAAGGTTCTCTGTTGTGGATACCAGCTAGCAACCAGACTGAATAACTTTCCTTTTGAGTATGTGTTAGCTACAAACAAAGTCTACAGTCTGAAAGTATCGATGAACAGTCTATTCTGGGTGACGTGAATGCCCTCAACTCCGACTGATGAACTTTTCCAAGGCAAGGAGACACCCAGGTCTTCAGGCCGAATTTTCGCGATCATCAACTTTGTATTCCGAACTATCTGCCAGCCTTTCACCTCTTATTGATTCTGACCCGATTCCTCTATCACCAAACCACTCGCATCTTCCCAAGCCTTCTCTAGCAATCTCAATTGGTTTTCAACGTAAAAGCCTCACTACCCGTGCCTTCAGGGCTCAGGCACCCATCTCGTTCCCCCATCAAAGGCTAATATATATGACCCAACTCGGCCTCACAGTGGAATGCTGCTGTTTTATTTAATAAGTCGTTACTTCTACGCCCCTTTGAGTCGTTGACTCTTGCACTTCTTCCGATGATCTGAAACAACTCTCACGTCTTTCCTGCGCCATATTGTTGCCACTGTCACGTCAAGTGTTCCACTGGAATTAACTCATCTGTCTCACTTTCATGATCGTTAAGTCTCCTGATATGTCTATACCATTCGAGTCCGCATTGGTAAATATATTAACCTCCTGCTCGGTTTTCCTCGAAATTATCCACCTGGGTTAGTTGAAATCACGTTTCTTGTTTTTCAACTTCTTACGATCCTCAAATTTTCAAGACCCCGAAAAACGGCCATCTACCCAAACGTCGACAACACCTCATATTTGTTCATCTTTTATGCTCTGTTTATCTCACACATATGATTGCGTTTTTAGACTGCCTTCTTCTGTTGATAAACATCTGATACATGTACTATAATCGCCTAAACAGTATAACTGAAACCAGTACCTGTCCATTCCCCTGCTTGACTGTCATTAAAACGCACAACCCTAGCAACTTTGTGAAGCTGTATCAACCTCCAAAGACCCTCTCTTGACTTCTCAAACCAGTCAGTTAGATTTAATTTGCGCACAGAAGTTGCCAGATTGATGCGCAGCCGGTTTAATGGGTCACGCCATACTACACAGACAGGACAATGAAAGATTTTCAGATTTACGTGGCAATTTCAGTAATTCCAAGTAAATAAACGGTTAGAACTTGGCTTTTAAACTACCTTAATTGTTTATTGGGCTTGCTAAAATAGCCAGCTTAGTGATGCAAACGATGGTTTCATCAGCCATTGCCCGCTTAAACAAGACCCCAACTTCCTTCAACGCTGATGCAAATACACATATACCAGCAGTGTGCTTGCATTACACACTCATACTAAGAGCATATGCCCAATCGACTCCAGAATGAACTATTGTGCATCCGATTTTCCGTGAGGTTATAAATGCTGCTTTGATACTAACCTGAGTTATTCTGTGTAGTCAAAGTTTGGGGATTAGGTTTTTTATCTCCAGTCCCTGAACCATGCGCAGATTGCAAACCGCAATTTAAAGGGGTTTAATTTCCGAAACAGTTTCCTTGGGTGACAATCAATCGCTAGTTTTGGTAGTGTCGTTTATGGTGAATAGGTACTAAAGGTCACGAGTATGGTCCTGCAGGAGAAGAATAGCAAGGGATCTGTAGCGTTCACTGCCTTGTCACCTCAACGAACTTCGCCTAATTTGTCTAGTACATCCGTGCTCACTAGATCACGCGAGTCTTTTGTTCCGCAAACGCACAGATCACGTGACAAAACTTTGTCCCGCTTGGAACCTAGACCGGCAACAATTCACATCCCGTATTGTAAGCGTCTGATCGACTATAAGTATTATACACGAGTCAAGTCTTCTCAAATATATGGAGACACGACACAGTCAGGACACACATAGTTGCTTTCCCGCAGAGGCAGGAAATCAACCAAACTCCACAAGTCCACGGACTATTACGGAACATGTGTAGCAGCTATACTGCGGAGAAAATACGTTCCCGCCGTCCGAGCTTTCACCCAAAAACTCTCACACACGATAAGTTCCCGTTCTGATTTACTGCACCTTTCGCATTGCATTTATTTTATATTTGGTGCAGATAACTGCTGTAAGCTATCATCAACAATTTTAAAAACTGTTATTAGTGCATGAACCTTCTGAGCTATATTATGGAAACAAAATTTGGAGAAGTATTAGATAGCTAAACTTCGTGGATGTCATTGTTCCATTATTTGGAGGTCGTATGCCTGCAAAAGTTGCTGTTAATAGAATACTAGAAGTGCTCCAGCTTCAACTTGCGCTCCAAGGTGCAGTCTTTAAAATTTCTAACTGCAGCTGCACGGGCTGTAGCAAATGAATTCAATAAACGCTTCATCAAACCATGAACAAAGTTCGCCAAATTGCGTCCTCTCTTATGTCAAAAACGAATAACACTGATATTAAAGGATTGCATCTTCAAAACCCTCTTGAGAAATGTCCTATTGTGTGGCCCTGAAGTGCTGCTTCTCGGATATGAAGACCTTGAATGTCTTCGAATATTTGATCATTGATGTCTCCATAGTATGATATGCGTCAACTAACTGCATGGTTTACACAAGTAATTGTTAGACAGTAAACGGGACTCTATTGAGCGACACGTAAGGTTGATCAGGTTAGAGTAGTTGGGCTATGTACTGGGTATGACTGGTTAACTTCCACCAAGGCCGTGCTTTGAACTTTGAACACTTGTTAATGATAGCTTCGTCAAATACAAGCCATAAAGCGGTGATAAGAAATTAAAGCGGTTATTACAAAGTTAAGCATCAAACTATCTTCGCGCCTCTGGCTCGGATTACGGTGACTTACACGTGATCAGAACGTATACAGGACATGTCACGTAACCGACCTCAATAATAAGCTCGCAGTCGCTTGCCAGGTGAACTTGTTCATCGTTATTTCTTAGACTTGTCCTGGTTAAGGTTCGCAAATGAGGTCAACCTCGCGGATGGCATATTACATTGGTATGATGCTTAAATGCGCATACTATAATGGAATTTTAATGTATGGGTTGTTTCTCTCGGGGAACACAGCTTTTACGGTACACTTCACGCTCAGCCTGTTTCTATCGTTTTCTATAACTTGTTTCTCCATGGTTGCAAGGCAGTTAAAAGTCGGTTTACTCTACAGGTCTATTGCTTTTCAGGGCGTTGTTGATATCCATGATAATCGTGATGACAACTGTGGCCCAACTGCCCCGGTAGGCTATAATGGACAGGTATTAACAAAATCGGGGACCAATCTAACTAGCGCGTCAATTATTCCGTCGGGCTGTGTGAGTAAAAATTGTGCATGTGGTTTACAAAACAAATAATCATAGGAGCCGTAAGGCCTCGAAATGTACAAGTGGATTAAATAAGGTCGTTTATCGTAGGCCATAGAAGCAACGCCATTCTACTAAATCTCACAGCACGGATGCAGTCATGGTAACGTTGGACGAAGTTCAACTTTGCATAATTCGGAATATTTTATCGGTGTTACAACTCAATGAAGCATTGATATTCTGTGAAGAAGCATCCATTACCAAAGCACTGTTCTAATGGTTTCGTTTTCCCATTTTTAAGCATCCTTCAGCCCACACAGTATTCGAACGTTGGCTTACAAACCGCTAAGTTAGACCCATTGGAATCCATCGTGACATATCATTCTCAAACATGACAACTAAACCAAAGACCCAAAGCCATAAATAAGGTGGATGCCACCCATCCGCCTTTATCATTTCTGGCAAAACTGGTGGCCTACGAAGTTCACGGACCATTGTTGCTCTTGATCAGAGACTACCCAAACTAACAAACAATTACCATAAATGTACCGCTCAAGATAGGCCAGCGCTCAGTGCTCGAACTCACCGACCATAAGGTCCGTGAGACTGCTCTAGTTTAGGCTGCAGGCAACTTGGTAGTATTTTGCCCTCCAGCTTTCTTCGGGCGACATGGCCGCTAGTGCTAAACCTGGACCATTTTTACATATTCCAGACCCATTAATTGTGATATACCAAAAGGTTCGGTGCTTGGCTCATTCCTGTTGATTGTATTCACAAGCGAATTGACTACTATAAGGTAAACTCCGTGTGAATGATTTGCAGAAGTCACAATACTCTAGAAGTACCACATGACATGGTCTACGTTATACTTTGGGAGGACCTCCATCGTCATCATCAACCATAGTTGTGCCTTATGCACAGCGTTTAGGACTGCCACAGTTTTGTCTGCGAATGTAGTGAGGAGATACGGCGAGTGACTTTACATGTGAGGCGGCAGCTGATATAACTAGTCTGCTCGCCTTATGAAAAATTCCCTTTGAAAGTCAGGAATTGTTACAATGTCCTCAGAATGTATCTAGCCGCTCAGAATCACTTCCCCCGTCTCCATCTTCTGGAAACTGCCACTCGAGTGTGTTGATAATAATCATTACACAGAAGACGTTTCAACCCCAATCAAAGATGAAGGTAGAAAACTGCGCCTGTGTGGCCGTGCTTACACTTATCACCCCACAACTATTTGCATACATCTGTAGTGTCTGTAATCCGTTGTCACATTTACCATTCCTCCTGAACTTAAACCATACTTTGTAACCGTCGTTCACATTGTATCATGACGCTTGGTTTAATGTAAGGAATACACAATTTTTCCGGTGCGACATGCTGACTTCTTGCTGAACGAGTGTATTTACGCTCCATTGAACTGTTTGTTGACTGCTGAACCAGTGGGACTAAATCTCTGTGCTTGTGTCAACTGTTGAACGTCACAATTAATCCCTGTGACATTTTTTAGCCGTGAATAATTTTTCCTACCGTGGAATATATCACGCACGCGGAACCATCTGTGGGAAATTCCGACAAGTGAATGTTTCCTTTCACAGCCAGTTACTGCATTTGGATCGGTGTAGTGGACT